TGCAGTGAGCTGAGATTGAGCCACTGCACTCCAGCCTGGTGACAGAGTGAGACTCTGTCTCAAACAGAACAAAACAAAACAAAAAAACAGTAGAAAGTCCAGGTGTGGTAAGTGTGTACTCGAGCCCCTCACCACTGTGCTTCCTTAAGGCTGGCCACTGTCCCACTGGTTATAGTTTGGTTTGTATTCTGTGATTAGATACCAATTTTTAAAGATAAAAAGGGTCTACTTTAGTGCTTAGATATCAGATTGGTCCAGTGTGAGCACTGTGGCAAGAGGATTCAGAGCCAAAGAATAATGCCATTAGAGCTGAGACCTGCTCCTTGGGTCACACCAGCACACCCTGCTACTGTTACTAAGTTCTGGTACTTTCTTCTCCAGGTCGATCATGCGAGGCTGTGACAACATGTGTAGCTACTGCATTGTTCCTTTCACCCGGGGAAGGGAGAGGAGTCGGCCTGTTGCCTCTATTCTAGAGGAAGTGAAGAAGCTTTCTGAGCAGGTGAAGAGTTCTCCAGGCTTTCTTGCTGTGAGCATGTTTTGGGGGAGGATGAGGATAACCTTTGTAGTTTTGGAGCCTGTGCTGTCTCTGAGTTATTAAAGTTTAGGACCATGCTTGGCCAGAAACAACTACTTGGGTGTGCATCATTTGTTTATTGCCCATAAATTACAGAGCTCCACTGTGGAGGCAGCACAGTGGATGGAGAGGGCATGGGTTTACAGTCAGGTGATGGAGTGTGAATTCTGGCTTGGTTTCTAGGCATGTCAATTTAACTGTTGTTGTAATGCATTTACCTCATCTATGAAAAGAGAATAAAAGAATACCTTGCTTGCAGGGTTATTAGAAGAATTGGAGGAAAAGTTTTTAATTACCTGGCACGTAGCTAAGTTTTCGAGGAATTAGGTATTTGTCTCTTCCAGGAAAAACTCCCAGATTTATTGTTCATTTTATCACTGATCCAGCTCACTAGTTGAGGAACAGAATAAATGAGGGGACTGAGGCAGATCAGAAGCCACAGAGGAGATCTGTTCCTTTTCCTCCCACTGGGAGCTGGTCCTCAGCTTCTGAGGAGGTCTTTTCCTTAGCCCCAGGCCTGAATCTGCTACCCCTGCAGAAGAGGACGATAGGTGGCTTTTCCTTCCAGTGGTGTCTCCCTGCTTCCTAACTTGTTTGGTGCAGGAATCATGGGAGGGGGCCAGGGTAGCCTCTGCTCCAGTTCTTTTTTTATTTTTTATTTTTGAGACGGGCTGTCACTCTGTCACCCAAGCTGGAGTACAGTGGTATGGTCAGAGCTCACTGCAGCATCAACTGCCTAGACTCAAGTGATTCTCCCACCTCAGCTTCCCAAGTAGCTGTGACCACAGGTAGGTGCCACCATGCCCAGCCAATTTTTATTTATTTATTTTTTTTATTTTTATTTTTTTTTTGAGACAGAGTCTCGCTTTGTCACCCAGGCTGGAGTGCAGTGGCGCGATCTCGGCTCACTGCAAGCTCCGCCTCCCGGCTTCCCGCCATTCTCCTTCCTCAGCCTCCCGAGTAGCTGGGACTACAGGCGCCTGCCACCTCACCCGGCTAGTTTTTTGTATTTTTTAGTAGAGACGGGGTTTCACCGTGTTAGCCAGGATGGTCTCGATCTCCTGACCTAGTGATCCACCTGTCTCGGCCTCCCAAAGTGCTGGGATTACAGGCTTGAGCCACCGCGCCCGGTCGCCAATTTTTAAATATTTGTAGAGATTAAGTCTCACTATGTTGCTCAGGCTGATCTAGAACTCCTGGGATCAAGCAGTCATCCTGTCTTGGCCTCCCAAAGTGCTGGGATTACAGTCATGAGCCACTATGCCTGGCCTCCCTGCTTCACTTCTAAGTCACCAGTTAGCTTTCATCCTCACATTCTGGCAGTGCTGTCTTCTCTTGCCCCACTCCCAGATAATCAGTTCCCTGATTTGGCCCCTAGCTGCTCCCCTACTCTGTGAGGCATTCTCCATACCTCACCTCTCAAAGTGCTTCCTGGTCTAAAGTTGTCTCCTTCCTCTCCCCTTCCAGCTCTCCCTCGGTACCAAAACTCACTCCTTCAAGATAGAGACATTCTGCTGAAATAGATTGAGATGGTGACAAAACTAACCAGCCTTCCTAGGCCATTTGCCTGTAAAAGAAGGAACTTAATAACATTGAAGTGAGTGTTAGTGAATTCAAGGCCACAGACTTGTGGAAAATTAAGATTTTACTTGTATTTTAGAGTATCTGTTAGTCATTTAATAATTTTGCTTGTATAGTAACTTTTAAGATTTTTTTCTTTCATTTAGATTTTTAGACTACAGTTGCAAAGAGTATAGAATATTGTGCCTTTACCAGAATGTCCATTTATTCATTCAAACAATGATTATCCATTGGAAGTCTTCTAAGTAAGCAGCTTTTATAAAAAGTCTTCTAAATCTTTTTATATGAAAAATACTTAAATATACAGAAAAGAGAGAATAGTACAATGACCCCTCTGCCCCAGCTAACAATCACCTAATTTTAACAATTGTTGCATTTTGCCATATTTGTTTCATTTACTTTTATTTTTCATTTTTTTTTGAGATGGAGTCTCACTCTGTTGCCCAGGCTGGAGTACAGTGGTGTGATCTCAGCTCACTGCAACCTCCATCTCCTGGGTTCAAGTGATTCTCCTGCCTTATCCTCCTGAGTAACTGGGATTATAGGTGCCTGGCACCACACCTCGCTAATTTTTGTGTTTGTTTTTTTTTTTTGAGACAGAGTTTCACTCTTATTACTAACCAGGCTTGAGTGCAATGGTGTGATCTCGGCTTACCACAACCTCCACCTCCCAGGTTCAAATGATTCTCCTGCCTCAGCTTCCCAAGTGGCTGGGATTACAGGTGTGCACCACCACACCTGGCTAATTTTGTATTTTTTTAGTAGAGATAGGATTTCTCCATGTTGGTCAGGCTGGTCTCGAACTCCTGACCTCAGGTGATCCGCCCGCCTTGGCCTTCCAAAGTGTTGGGATTACAGGCGTGAACCACTGCACTCGGCCTAATTTTTGTATTTTTAATAGAGACGAGGTTTCACCATATTGGTCAGGCTGGTCTTAAACTCCTGAGCTCAAGTGATCCACCCACCTCGGACTCCCAAAGTGCTGGGATTACAGGTGTGAGCCCACCACACCTGGCCTCATTTATTTTTTTCTTATTGAAAACGTATTTCAAAGTAGAGCATGTCATTTCACCCTTAAATATGCATCTCTAAAAAATAAGGATATTTTCTGTTTTAAAAAAATATTTTTAGTATTTATTTATTTATTTATTTATTTTTGAGATGGAGTTTCACTTTTTTTGCACAGGCTGGAGTGCAATGATGCAATCTTGGCTCACTGCAACTTCCGTCTCCTGGGTTCAAGTGATTCTCCTGCCTCAACCTCCCAAGTAGCTGGGATTACAGGTGTGTACCGCTACACCTGGCTAATTTTGTATTTTTAGTAGAGATGGGGTTTCACCAGGTTGGCCAGGCTGGTCTCAAACTCCTGACCTCAGGTGATTCGCTCGCCTCAGCCTCCCAAAGGGCTGGGATTATAGGCATGAGCCACCGCGCCTGTCCTATTTATTTATTTATTTTAAGAGACAGCGTCTTGTTCTGTTGCCCAGGCTGGAGTGCAGTGTTACAATCTTGGCTCACTGCAACCTTTGCCTCCGGGACTCAAGTGATCCTCCTGCCTCAACCTCCTGAGTAGCTGGGATTATAGGCATGCACTACCATGCACTGCTAAAGAATATTTTTATTTTATTTATTTATTTATATATTTATTTAGAGATGGAATTTCACTCTTTTTGCCCATGCTGGAGTGAAATGGTGCGATCTCAGCTCACTGCAACCTCCGCCTCCTGGGTTCAAGTGATTCTCCTGCCTCAGCCTCCCGAGTAACTGGGATTACAGGCATGCGCCACCACGCTCAGCTCATTATTTTTATTTTTTTTTTGAGACGGAGTTTCACTCTTGTTGCCCAGGCTGGAGTGCAGTGGCACGATCTCGGCTCACCACAATCTCTGCCTCCCAGGTTCAAGTGATTCTCCTGCCTCAGCCTCCCTAGTAGCTGGGATTATAGGCATGTGCCATCACGCCCGGCTAATTTTGTAATTTTAGTAGAGACGGGGTTTCTCCATGTTGATCAGGCTGGTCTCAAACTCCCGCCCTCAGGTGATCTGCCCGCCTCAGCCTCCCAAAGTGCTGGGATTACAGGCGTGAGCCACCGCACCTGGCCCATTTTTGTATTTTTAGTAGAGACAGGGTTTCACCATGTTGGGCAGGCTGGTCTCGAACTCCTGACCTTAGGTGATCTACCCTCCTCGGCCTCCTAAAGTGCTGGGATTACAGGTGTGAGCCATCGCGCCCAGCCAAGAATATTTTTAATACCATTAGTTCTTCCAGTGACATTAACAAAAATTGCTAATTAACAAAAATTGCTAAATACCGTCTCATTCCAGTTCATCTTTATTCAGACTTCCCTAATTGTTCCTTAAGTCATTCTGCATTTGGTTTGTATGTCTTTTTATATATGTGTGTGTATTTTACTTAGTTTTATATCCTACTTTTTAATAAATAAACTCTTTGTTTTGGAATGACTTTACATTTACAGGAAGGTTGCAAAGAGAGTTTCCTCGAGCGTTACCATCTTTCTTTGGTACATTTTTTGGTGCTGTAATCCCAGCACTTTGGGAGGCCAAGGCAGGAGGGTGCCTTGAGCGTAGGAGTTCAAGACCAGCCTGGGCAACACAGGGAGATGCTGTCTCTATTACAAAACAAACAAAACAAGAACTAAGAGATTAATATTGGTGTGTTACTATCAACTCTCTTGAGACTTGATTTGGATTTTGCCTGTTTCTCTACTAATGTCTTACTTCGTTTCCAGGATCCAATCCAGGATTCCCATTGCATTTAGTATATCCTACTTTTTAGATAAGAGAATGACTTACACAAATAAATAGCCTTTATGGAGACTGGAGTTATGACAACTAAATGCATTGCATGGTCCTTGATTGGGATTCTGATCAGGGAAAAAAATGTTATAAAGAACATTATTTGGACCGGGTGTGGTGGCTCACACCTGTAATCCTAATCCTAGCATTTTGGGATGCTGAGGTGTGCGGATTACCTGAGCTCCGGAGTTTGAGACTAGCCAGGGCAACATGGTGAAACCTGTCTCTACTAAAAAATACAAAAAATTAGCTGGGCGTGGTGACACACGCCTGTAGTCCCAGCTACTCAGGAGGCTGAAGCAGGAGAATCACTTGAACTTGGGAGATGGAGGTTGCCGTGAGCCAAGATCGCGCTAGTGCACTCCAGCCTGGGTGACAGAGTGAGACTCTGTCTAAAAAAAAAAAAAAAAAAAAAAGAAGGAACATTATTTGGACTATTGGTAACATTTGATTTATGGAAAGTAGATTAGATAATAGTATTGTATCAATATTTCTGATTTTGATGATTGTCCTGAAATTATATAGGAGAATGCCTTGTTTTTAGGAAATATGTACTAAAGTATTTGGGAGTAAAAGAATATGATATCTGCGACTTTTTCTCAGAAGGCTTAAAAAAAAATGTAGTCGTATGTGTGTTGAAAGAGAGTGTATATGAGTGTCTGAATGTGAGTGATAAACAAATGGGGAGCATTGTTAGCATTTGATGAATTTAGGTAAAGAGTATATGGGAATTCTTTTAATATTGCAGTTTGTAAATTGAAATTATGTCAAAACAAAGTTACAAAACAAGTCTTTTCTAGCAACCATTATTTATGAAACTTTATAATATAACATTTCTATTTTTTGAGACGAAGTCTCGCTCTGTTGCCCAGGCTGGAGTGCAGTGGCATGGTCTCGGCTCACTACAACCTCCACTTCCTGGGTTCAAGTGATTCTCCTGCCTCAGCCTTCTGAGTAGCTAGAATTACAGGCACCTGCCACCACGCCCAGCTAATTTTTTGCATTTTTAGTAGAGATGGGGTTTCACCATGTTGGCCAGGCTGGTCTCGACCTCCTGACCTTGTAATCTGCCCACCTCAGCCTCCCAAAATGCTGGGATTTCAGGAGTAAGCCACTGCACCCGGCCTATAATATAAAATTTCAAACAGACAAATTGAAAGACTAGTATAATAGAAAAACATGATTGTTAACATTTTGTCATACACCTATCTCCATACACCCATAAATGTATTTTTTCTGAACCATTTGAAGTAATTTGTAGACCTCAGGACACTTGCCCTTAGATACTTCAGTATGCATCTCCTATGAGTAACAATTTTTCTCTTTATAACCATGGTATCGTTATATATATGAAGATCAATAGTTATCTAAGCCAGACACTTTGGCAGGCTGAGGTGGGAGGATTACTTGAGTTTAGGAGTTTAAAACCAGTCTGTGCAACATGGTGAAATCCCTTCTCTACAAAAGAAAAAAAAAAGTAGTCCCAGCTACTTGGGAGGTAGAGGCAGGAGGATTGCTTAAGCCTGGGAGGTCGAGGCTGCAGTGAGCTATGATCGTGCCACTGCACTCCAGCCTGGGCAACAGAAGGAGACCCTGTCTCAAGAAGAAGAAGAAGAAAAAAAATCTAAAACAGTTCTTTTATTTATTTTTTTGTTGTTTGCTTTAAATGATGCATTAACTTTTTGAAGAGATCAGACATGAGTCTCCTTTGTCTGATTTTTTCCCTCATGTTGTCATTTAATATATCTCCCTGAATTCTGGTAACTGGAAGTTAGGTGTAAAAGCTTGATTACTTTAGGTTAAATATTTTTGATGAGAATACTTTATATAGTCATGGTGTATAACATTCAAATGACAGATCTATCATAAAGTAACCATTATTGTTGATTATTGAGTTTGTTTCCAGTTTTTCTTCTATTCTAAATAATGTTTTGAAGATTAATTTTTACATAAGGCTTCATTATGAGTTTTAGCTCTTTAGGTAAGATGTCTAAGCTTGAAATTATCAGGTTATAGACACAACACATTTATCGGTGTCTCTTGGTAGGTTTGATTTTTCTTTTGTTTAAAACAAAAGGTGTTAATTGCAGCTAATTTTTAATTAGTGTTTTTTTATGAAGCTACCCAAAAGTTTTAAAATTCCAATATATTTTCCCATGTTTAGGGGCTGAAAGAAGTGACACTTCTTGGTCAGAATGTTAATAGTTTTCGGGACAATTCAGAGGTCCAGTTCAACAATGCAGTGTCTACCAATCTCAGCCGTGGCTTTACCACCAACTATAAAGCCAAGCAAGGAGGACTTCGTTTTGCTCATCTTCTGGATCAGGTCTCCAGAGTAGATCCTGAAATGAGGATTCGTTTTACCTCTCCCCACCCCAAGGATTTTCCTGATGAGGTGAGCATCAGGTTAGCTGTGACAAACTGATATTAGTATTCTTGAGCATGCCAAAGGCTGGACCTAGTAGGGAGGCAACAGAGACCTGGAGTCCTGCTCAGGGATCCTGTGGGGTATTGCTGCATCACCCTCTGGATCTGCTGGTCCTTTGAAGATTTAAAGTCCACCAGTGGCTGGGCATGGGGCTCATACCAATAACCTCAACACTTGGAGAGGTTGAGGCAGGTGGATTGCTTAGGCTCAGGAGTTGGAAACCAGCCTGGGCAACATGGCGAAACCTTGTCTCTACTGAAAATACAAAAAATTAGCTGGGTGAGGTGGCATACGACTGTTGTGCCAGCTACTTGGGAGACAGAGGTGGGAGAATCATTTGAGCCCAGGAAGTCAAGGCTGCAGTGAGCCAAGATCGCACCACTGCACTCCAGCCTGGGTGACACAGCAAGACCGTGTCTCCAAAAAAAAAAGTCTGCCAAGGTGGGAGTGGAGGTAGGACTGATATTCAGCAGAGGTTAAGACCTCCTGCAGGACCGTGAGGGCTATACAGAGAGGGTTCGTTACAAAATGGGCAGCTGAGTGGTAATAATGGTGATGGGGTGGTAATGGTGGTATGGGGCGGACAGGAAGGAGGTGGTGTGGTGCTCTGGGAAACAGCCCAGACTTTTGCCTCAGACCCAGGTTCAAATCTCAGCTCTTCCACTGCTTTACCAGCAAGCATGTGATGTTTTCAGCTTTTCATCTTTATCTGTAAAATGGGGTTAATAAGGCGTTAACAGTTACCTCCTGCTATGGGTTGTTGTGAAATAGATACAAAGGCATACCTTGTTTTATTGCACTGTGCAGATACTATGGAGTTACTTTTAACAAATGGAAGGTTTGTGGCAACTCTGAGTAAGTCTGTCAGCACCACTTTTCCAACAGCATGTGCTTACTTCACGTCTCTGTCATATTTTGGTGATTTTCACAGTATTTCAGACTTCATTATTATTATGTCTGTTATGGTGATCTGTGATCATTGCTGTTTAATGTTACTCTGAAAATTGTTTTGTGACACTGTGAGCCACACCCACATAAGACGGCGACCTAAACTGATAAATGATAATGATGTGTGTGTTCTGACTGCTCCACTGACGGCCATTCCCCCATCTCTCTCCCTCTCCTCAGCCCTCCCTATTCCCCGAGACACAACAATATTGAAATTGGGTCATTTAATCACCCTACAGTGGCCTCTAAAGTGCTCAAGTGAAGGGAAGGGTCGCACAGCTCTCACTTGAAATCAAAAGCCAGAAATGTTTAAACTTACTGAGGAAATCATGTTGAAAGCTGAGCTAGGCTGAAAGGCCTCTTATGCCAACCAGCCAAGTTGTAAATGCAAAGGAAAAGTTTATGAAGGAAATTAAAAGTACTACTCCACTGAACACATGAATGATAAGAAAACAAAACAGCCCTTTTGGCTGGGTGTGGTGGCTCACACCTTTAATCCCAGCACTTTGGGAGGCCAAGGTGGGCAGATCATCTGAGGTCAGGAGTTCTAGACCAGCCTGGCCAACATGGCAAAATGCTGTCTTTACTAAAAATAGAAAAATTGGCTGGGTTTGATGGTACACACCTGTAATCCTAGCTGCTTGGGAGTCTGAGGCTGGAGAATTGCTTGAACCCAGGAGGCAGAGGTTGCAGTGAGCCGAGATTGTGCCACTGCACTCCAGCCTGGGCAATAGAGTGAGTCTTCATCTCAAAAACAAAAAAACAAAAAAACCCACCAACCCAAACCAGCCTTTTTGCTGATATGGAGAAAGCTTCAGTGATCTGAAGAGAAGATCAAAGAAGCCACAGCACTGCCTTATGCCAAAGCCTAATCCAGAGTAAAGCCTTAGCTCTCTTCCGTTCTCTGAAGGCCAAGAGATGTGAGGAAGCTGAAGAAGAAAAGTTTGAAGCTAGCAGAGGTTGACTTACAAGGTTTGAGGAAAGAAGCCATCTCTCTAACATCAAAGTGCAAGGGGAAGCCACAGTGCTGATGTAGAAGCTGCGCAAGTTATCCAGAAGATCTAGCTAAGATCAATGATGGAGGTGGTTCTACTAAACAACAGATTTTCTGTGTAAATGAGCCGTCTTCTATTGGAAGAAGATGCCATCTGGGACTTTCATAGCTAGAGAAGAGTGTCAGTGCCATTCTTCAAAGCTTTAAAGGACAGGCTGACTTTCTTTTGTTTTCTTTTAAAAAAAATTAGAGATGGGGTCTTACTGTGTTGCCCAGGCTGGTCTTGAGCACCTGACCTCAAGCAGTTCTCCCACCTAGGCCTCTCAAAGTGCGGGGATCACAGGCGTGAGCCACTGCGCCCAGCCAGACGCTCTTTAGGGGCCAGGGCAGCTGGTGACTTTAAGTTGAAGCCAGTGCTCATGTGCCATTTTGAAAATCCTAGGGCCCTTAAGAATGATGTTAAATCTCTGCCTGTACTCTATAAATAGAGGAACAAAGCCTGGATGATAGCACACCTGTTTATAGCATGATTTACTGAATATTTAATTTTTAATTTTTTGTAGAGTTGGTGTCTCCCTGTGTTGCGCAGGCTGGTCTCAAACTCTTGGACTCAAGTGCTCCTTCTACCTCATTCTCCCAAAGTGCTGGGATTACAGGCATAAGCCACTGTGCTTGTCTAGTTAACTGAGTATTTTAAGCTCACTGTCGAGACCTACTGCTTAGGAAAAAAGATTCCTTTCTAAATATGACTGTTCATTGACAATGCACCTAAGTCATCCCAGAGCTCTGATAGAGATGTACAGAGAGATTATTAGTGTTGTTTTTATGCCTGCTAACACAATATCCATTTTGCAGCCCATGGATCAAGGAGTAATTTCAACTTTCAAGCCCTATTATTTTAGTTTTTATATAAGATCGATTCTTACTATTTAAGAAATATATTTCATAAAGCTATAGCTGTCATAGATAATGGCTTCTCTGATGGATCTGGGCAGAGTAAATTGAAAACATTCCGGAAATAGTTCATCATTCTAGATGCCATTAAGAACATTAATGATTCATGGGAACAGGTCGAAATGTCAACATTAATAGGAGTTTGGAAGACACTGATTTTAACACTCGTGGATGATTTTGAGGGGCTCACGACTTCAGTGGAGGAAATAACTGTAGATGTGGTGGAAATAGCAAGAGAACTGGAATTAGAAGTGGAGCCTGAAGATGTGACTGAATTGTTGCAATCTTATGGTCAAACTTCAATGAATGAGGAGTTGCTTCTTATGAATGAGCAGAGAAAATGGTTTCTTTTTTTTCTTTTTTCTTTTTTTTTTTTTTGAGACGGGTCTTACTCTATCGCCCAGGCTGGAGTGCTATGTTGCAATCTTGGCTCACTGCAACCTCTGCATCCAGGTTCAAGTAATTCTCCTGCTTCAGCCTCCCAAGTAGCTGGGATTATGGATACCTGCCACCACGCCCAGCTAAATTTTTGTATTTTTAGTAGAGATGGGGTTATGCCATGTTGGCCTGGCTGGTCTTGAACTCCTGACCTCAAGTGATCCACCCACCTGGGCCTCCCAGAGTTCTGGGATTACAGGCATGAGCCACCGTGCCTGGCCTGAAAATGGTTTCTTGATATAGAATCTATTCCTGGTGAAGATGCTATGGATATTATTGAAATGACAACAAAGTGTTTAGAATATTGCATAAACTTAGTTGATAAAACAGTGGCAGGGTTTGAGAGGACTGCAGTTTTGAAAGATGTTCTATTGGGGTAAAATATTATTATAGAATAAATATTCTATTGTGGGTAAAATACTATCAAACAGCATCACATATTGTAGAGCAATCTTCCATGAAAGAGTCATTTGATATGGCCGACTTCATCGTTGTCTTGTTTTAACAAATTGTCACAGCCACCCCAACCTTCTGCAGCCACCACCCTGATCAATCAGCAGCCAGCACCATTGCTCACTTGAAGGCTCAGATGATCGTTAGCATTTTTTTTAGCAATAAAGTATTCTAAGGGTGGGTGTGGTGACTCATCCCTGTAATCCCAGCACTTTGGGAGGTTGAGGCAGGAGAATCACTTGAGCCTAGGAGTTGGACACCAGCCCAGGCAACATAACTTTATAATTTTTATTTTTATTTTTTTTCGAGACTGAGTCTTGCCCTGTCGCCCAGGCTGGAGTGCAGTGGCATGATCTTGGCTCACTGCAACCTCTGCCTCCCGGGTTCAAGCAATTCTCCTGCCTCACCTCCCAAGAAGTGGGGACTACAGGCGCGTGCCACCGCGCCTGGCTAATTTTTGTGTTCTTGGTAGAGACGGGGTTTCACCATGTTGGCCAGGCTGGTCTTGAACTCTTGACCTCGTGATCTTCCCGCCTCAGCCTCCCAAAGTGCTGGGATTACAGGTGTGAGCCACTGCGCCTGACCCTATAATTTTTAAATAAAAAAATTAGCTGGGCATCGTAGCACATGCCTGTAGTCATAGTTACTTGGGAGGCTGCAGCAGGAGGATCGCTTAGTCTAGGAGTTCAAGGCTGGGGTGAGCTATGGTTTCACTGCACTCTAGTGAGGGCGATAGACTGAGACCCTATCTCAATATATTTAAAAAAATTTAAGTATAATGAAATTATGGTATGTACATTGTTTTCACTTAATGGACTGCAGTATAGAGTAAATATAACTTTTATTTGCACTGGGGAACCAAAACATTTGTGTCACTCACTTTATTGTAATATTCTTGTCATTGTGGTGATCTGGAACCAAACCTGTGATATCTCTGAGGTATGCCTGTATTGTGTCAAAGGTACTTAGCACAGGGCCTGGCATGGAGTAGGTAAGCCTGCATCTGAAACCTTCTATTGGAGGTTTTTGGTTTCAGTGAAATGTCTTTCTTTTGGCCCCCACTTTCATCTTTTTTCCTCTGGATTGTCTTCTTACTCAGTTGTAAAAGTTCTTTATATATCCTTTAATTTTTTGACCACTGCGAAACGGCCTTTCTTGCAATGGAGGAGAGAGACTGGGCTCCATTCTCTT